TGACACATCTAGTTTATAAACCATTAGAATACCTCATTTTTTCATTGTAAAAGTTTTTTTGGATTACTCGTATATATAATAACAGCAGAGGATCAATCTTATGCCAAATAGACAATAAATAAAGCAACATCACTTCGTAAAAAAGTTGTACGTAAAGTACATTTGTATTGTTTTTTATGGACGTTACATCAAATAGATCGTGGTAGGAGTTTCAGACTTTAGGTCATTTCTTTTCGAGAAATATGTTACTGAACAGACCGTGGTGGGAGTTTGGGCTATCATTTTTGAAAGACATTCGCCTTAGAGCATGTAATTTAGGTTGTAACAGAACAGACCGTGGTAGAAGTTCAGACTATCAACCATTTACCATACTTAGTTTTACTAACAAGATATATTTAATTCTTTGATATATCAAAAGTTAAAATTCTGGATGACGTTTTCAATAGTGGGTACGATGAGTACTAGAAAGTTTCAAAGAACATGAAGAGACACCAAAGTATATTCACATAAAATTAATAATTTAAATATGATAGCTCGTAGAATACGAGAATTAAATAATCTAAAACATGTGAGTTTAATCTTTTTTTTTCTTTTTTTTTTGTTTTGTTAGAAGCGACATTAGCAAAACTGTTTTTGATTATATTTAAGGCAATAGAAAAGACAAGCGGACAAAAATAAGGACTATGTCTCTATTCATCAGAATCAGAATAAAGAAAACTCGGTTAAAGTTGCCATTAGTTGGGGTCTGGTGTTTTCATAATTTTATGTCTCGTTACTGTTCATCATTCAATTGATTTCACTTTTGTGTTATAGACTTCAAGCATCATGAATATAGATGTAACCAAAACGTCCCAAAATATGTTGTCATTAGTTTTAGCTGCTTTTATTCTTATTTCAACCAAAACGCTTGTTGAAGTGTTTCTATCCATCAAACGTTTCTTACGTGTATTTTTACCTTGTTGATGAAGATCTCTAGTATTCGATCAACGATTTCACAAGTCATAAGCTATATCCTTTAAATCTATAAGTGTTGAAAAAGTATCGATTCAATTAAAATGTGTAAAACAAAGGATCAATCAAATATAATGAATAAAACAGAATGATCGATTAAGTGTAATAAATAATTTTTTAAAAAGAAGATCGATTCAAGTACAATTTTTTTTTTTTAAAAAAATTATCTTTATTACCTGTATCGCCATTAAAAATATTACATTTTTTAATCGGTTAAAATTGAACATGTCAATTGACAATCGACATAAATTGAAAATTGACGCGTAACAAACATTATTTACAGCCCAAATATATGTATGGCTTCATTTTTTTTATTCTCTAAGTGCACGTTGTGTATTAGAGAGTCTTATTCTAATTTTAATTTTATAATGAAATAAACTGTATCGAACTTAGTTTGTACAAATGATTTGAAAAATTTTATTGATTTTAATTCTTTGTATGCGCTAAAATATCATCTTTACTAACTAAACTAATTTTTTTTCAGCAAAATTTCTATTTACTTACATAATAAAGATGTTCAAAACTATATACATTTATGAAAAGCAAATATATATATTTACTAAATCGAATATGCTAAATTTTAGAAACTTGAAATACTTCATAATCATCAACAAAAAACCAACCATCTCTGTTTCTTATTGGTTTGTCATATATATTATCCTTTATGCAACACCATTTTTTAGGAATAGGATTAACATATTCTCCCATTCCAAGCTCATTATGAAAACATGGACCTTGTGATCTTTTGCCATAAAAAATTGCTTCCGATGTAAACTTTACACGACTAAGAATAGATCGATCCATATTTCCATTATTTAAAGAGAAAATAAAGCTATCAGCTGTCGTTGCATATTCATTATTATTATCTCCAACTTTCCAAATAAGAGGATTGTATCCACCAAGTATCTCATCCGAATCACTGACTTTTAAAACGATCACGGTGCCAGGTACATTATCACAAAGCTTATGAAATACTTCACCCGTGAATCCATCCCTACTGCCTCTAAGTAAAAGTTTAAATTCATATGAAAATGTACGTCGATCAATCCAGGATAAAATCTCTACAGCATGCTTTAATGTGATTATCGAAGAAGACGGTGTAATAATAGACGTTTTTCGAAAAGGAGATTGTACCGTCGTCGTCGTCGTTTTTTTGCGAGGTGGTAAAATTAGAGAAGTAATGGGCAGACCTGGAGCTAAATATTTTGCTAAAATATCATCCCACACGTTCTTTTCAAGGATTTTGTAATAAGGTTTAATTTTCTTTAAGACATCTTTACTAGGAATTTGAAAGTATCTAATATGGGGAAGACAGTGTCGAAGAGTAGCTTTTAAAGACTTAAAATCCTCATCAGTCCATTCCTCGAGATTATATGGTAGACCTGGAGTTCTTGTTTTCCCCCATAGAATAACTTTATCCCAAATTTCCGTTTCTTCCATTTGCAAATCATCTCGCTTTAAAAGTGCAACCAAAGCGTTCTCATGAAGTATGTTAAAATCATCAGAATTAAAAATCATACACGGATTTTTTACAAGAATGTCATTGCAAAACTGTTGTAAATCTGTAAAGTTCTTATTATCGATGCTTATTTGATAAATTCGAGAAAAATTTAAACGAAGCCAAGAAGCATTATTATCAATAAGATAAGACTGAATATGTTCGATTAATTCTATAACCTTAAAATCATTTAGAGCAACTAATAGATCGAATATGGTTGAGGCTTCAAAATCTTCCAAAGAAATTATGCCACTATAGATATATCTAAGTCGTATCGTAAATAATAGTAAAAAAGCGTTAAATCATAATTAAATCAATGTAATATCAATCTAATAATTTACCTAATAACGATGTCAAATATCTTGGCAGAATGATTTGGTATTTTAAGTTCAACAACGTTGTTTTTCTTTGTTGCATTGGTTAATTTTCGACGAAAATATAATGAACGTTGATACAATATAGCTGAATGTGCTTTAAAAAATATGACATTTGGTTTTTCACCAACTTCAATCAATACGTTATAATCATATGCATTTTCAAGAAGATGTGTAAAATCTTGAGATAGTTGGTCAAGAAACTCTACGCTCATTTTATAGTTTCAGAGAGTACTTGTTGTGTCG